GGCGGGCCATTGGAAGTGCCGGTGCAGCTGTGCCCGTCTCCAACCACCCATCGGCCTCCATCCTCTTCGGGAACAGCTATCGCAAGAAGGACCTCCGCTACCGGTTCATCCACTTCTACTTCTACCTGTGACTTCCGTCTCATCGGCTTGCTTTAGTGTTTTAGCTGCTTGTTCTGTTCTGTCGTTTTTGTCTTCCCTTGTCCTCTGCCGTCTCTTCCTCTTTCGCTATGTTCTTCTTGCTCTGTTGCGTTCTCTGGCTCCCCCGTGGGACTGTTAGGAATAGGGGCAAATGTTCCTTCCTTGTGCGTGCCCCTCTGCTGCGGCGCGTAGTTGGCGCCCTTCCACCCTCCTGCCCCTCTGGATGCAGGTGCGCGCTTTTGGATGATAGTAATGGCCGTTTGGACTGCAGGGGGAAATCCGCACAACGCCGTTGCCCCTTCCCTCCCGCCTCCTCGGTCTTCCCCCCCTCTGGGTGCGCATTGCCGAATGTGCAGCCTGCGTGGATGCTGGCGTCCACGAGTTCAACTCTCTAGCTATTTGTCGCCCGTGACGAAAGGTCGCCGAAACTATCGGAGGTCATTAAATTGCTCCCTCGCGTGGTGATTCATGGAGTTTGGCTTCTCTGGCGCGGGGGGGAAAACAACTTCCTTGCGACAGACATTTGGCGACGTGCGCGCGCGCTCGTCGTCGCGCGCGCATTCTGCGAATAACCTTTTGCTCCGCAGTGTTTCGTAGGGATTTCAACGTCGAGCGCCCCGAAAACAAATTGAAGCACACGCCACAAATGACAACATTCGTTTTCAAATATCTGCCCTTTCGCTCTTTGCGCTTTTAAAGGCAACCATTGCTGTTGCACCATCCTTATCACATTCGACCCAACAGGCCTCCCGCGCGTACATGTCGGATTCACTCGAGCGCATTTGTGCGCGTGATGAAGGGGGCACGATCCTTGTCAAATAACGCCATGCTGGCCACTCGCGCCCGTCGGCCGCGCGCGCATGTCGAAATCTTTCCAAAACCTTCATCACCGACGCGTGGACACCAACATCGCCATCGGCGTGATCAGCATCGGCGCCGTCATTGGTCTTGCCGTCGTCATCGTCATCGTCATCGTCGCCACTCGCATTTTTACAATCATCAGCGATCGTGCGGCTGTCGACGTCGTCATGATAACGAGCTCGCCCAAGGCATCGAGTCGCAATGCCGTGCCCGCGCGTCAGCGCGGCTTGCGAAACACGCGTGGAAGTCCCCAGCGGTCATCACCTCCGCGGCCGCGTCGGTCGCGCCAGACCAGCAGGCCGCTCTGCGCGCGAGCTTGCGTGCGCGCGCTAGCGTGGCGGTGGCGACGCGACAGCCAGCCCCAAGCAGTCACCGCAGTCGCCGCCGCATGGTTTTCGCAAACCAAACTTCGAGTGGGTTGATGCGATGATTGCGCGAGCGGTGGAGTTTTCAAATTCAAGTTCGGCAGGGTGTATACCACCACATAGTTTGCACCACGTGGACTGTTCCATGCTGCGCGCCATACATTGCGCAACGCAGGATGCACTAGATAAATTCATTTTTTTCCAAACGGAATAGGATCTACCCCCCCGGCGTTATCGCCCCCCCTTTTCGGGTATGTTAATCATATATGATTTTGACCACATGTCACATGTCCATCCTAAATATGATTTTACACTATTCCCGGGGGGCCTGTATCCCCCCTGAGGGTCACTTGTAAAAAAAACACTATGCGGTTACATTTTTTGTTCTAACATAGATTTTTTTTTCGCGAATCCCTTGCAACAAATGGGACGAAGTGCGCGCGCGCGTCGTCGCGCGCGCATGCCGAAATCCTTCAAAAACCTTCGGTGCCGAAAGGATTTCGCAATCGAGTCTCCAAAACAACATACAAAAACACAGGGTGTCGCAACACCGATTTGCTAAAAAAACTTCCGCGCGAGCTCTTGCGACATCGTAAGAAAGCCATGGGTTTTCAAGATTTTCACAACATGCTACCAAACGGGCTTCGCGCGCGCGCATGTCGAAATCAGTCGAACGCCCTTGCGCGTGACCCGTCGCGAGAATCCTTTGCAAAAAATGGGACGAAGTGCAGACGCGCGCGTCGTCGCGCTTATGCCGAAATCCTTTAAAACCCATCGGTTTCGGAAGGATTTCAAAATCGTGTGCCCAAAAAACCTACAATAAACCCAAGGTTTCGCAACACGGAGTTTCAACAAAAGCGTGCGCGCGCGCGCTCTTGCGTCGTCGTCGTCGTCGTCGTCGTCGTCGTTGTCGTCGTCGCCGTCCTCCCTCCTCCCGCGTCGTCGTCGTCGTCGTCGCCTACGTCGTCCTCCGTCTTTCCTCGTGTTCGTCGTCATCGTCCTCTTTGGCGTCGTGGTCGTTTCCGTCGTCGTTGTCGCCGTGGTCGTCCTTCCTCCTCCTCCCTCGTCGTCGTCGTCGCCCGTCGTCGGCGTCCCGTCGTCGTCCCTCCTATTTCGTCGCCGTCGTCGTCGTCGTCGTTGTCGTCGTCGTCTTCCCTCCTCCCTCGTCGTTGTCGTCGTCGGCGTTGCCGTCCTTCCTCCTTCTTCGTCGTTCGCGTCGTCGCCGTCCTCCCTCCTCCCTCGTCGTTGTCGTCGTTGTCGTCGTTGTCGCCGTCGTCGTCCTTCCTCCTCCCTCGTCGTCGCCTTCGTTGGCGTCGTCGTCGTTGTCTTCGTCGTCGTCGGCGTCGGCGTCGTTGTTGTCGTCGAAGTCGTCGGAGACGTCGTTGTTGTCGTCGTAGTCGTTGTCGTCGGTGTCGTCGTAGTCGGTCTTAAGAGGTTTTGCAAACCAAGTTGTGGGTGGGTGGGTGGGATGTTTGCGCGAGCAGTGGAGATGTCGACTTCAAGTTCAGCAGAGTGGATTGCACAACATCTGTTGCACCACGCCACTTGTACCGCACACGTATTCGTATATGTTTATGTTCTGCACATATATCTATATTTGTATCTGTGTATGTGGAGGAATATGTAGTTTCATATGTGTCTGTATACGTACATGTATAGGTATACGTATGTGCATATGCATATGTGTTTGAACATGTATATGTATATGTACCAGTATATGTACATGCATATACACGCTTGAATTTCTAAACAAATATGTATGGTTGTGTATGTATATACGTAAATGTATGTATGTGTGTGTGTGGATAAGTCCATGTATATAAAACTGGATATGTATTCGTATGTGTATAGGCTTATGTATGTGCAACTGCACATGTATACGTAAACGTATATTCAAACGTGCATGCATACGTCAATCTAAATGTAGATGAACATTCTATGTATACGTGTATGTAACTATGTGTACATGTATGTACATGCAAATGCACATGTACACGTATATACGTGTGTTTGTGTATGCACATGAATGTGTGAATGTGGATGCATATGTTTATGCATGTTTATCTCATGGGTATTGATATTTGCATGGATCTATATATGTGTAGATATACATACATGCATATGTTTCTTTTGATCAGTATATATACATTTATATATATGTATGCATGTATATGTCCATACCTATGTGTTTGTACATGTATGGGTATATGTATCTGTTTATGTACATGTGCATGTGGAGTCATACGTACACACATATGCATTTGTACATGCATGTTTACATGGATATTCATGCGCGCATCTATATTCGTATATGCCTTTCTATGGTATGTTGTATACGCATGTATACATTTTTATACTTGCATATGCTTAATGTGTACGTACATGTTCATGTACATGCATGTGTGTACGTATAGTTGTTTCATGACTGTGGTTATGCGTGTATGTATGTGTATATGTTCGTGTATGTTTTTATGTATACTGATTCGTATATGTCTATACGTTTGTATGGCTAGGTAACTGTATATGTATGTGTATGTGTATGTTTGCATACATGCACACACATATATATACATAAATATATACACACTTGCATTTTGCACTATATTGCACCACATATATTAGGCCACTTCGATTGCACAACGTATGATGCATCACATAGGCAGCTCCACGTCGAGTGCACCACCTATATATTGCGCACCACGTTGATTGCGCCACGTGGGTTGCACCACATGGATTGCCGTATATTGCACCACATGGGGAGCACAACGTATATTGAACAATGCAGGTTGCACAACATAGTTTTCACCACATGGACTGCACCACATAGACTGCACCGCATCAAACGCATAACATCGACTGCTGGACACGCACCGTTTTCCATGCTGGGTTGACTGAAGGGGTTGGCAACGAGGGATTGTTCGGATCGGCTGGGGCTGGCCACAAAGTTGGCCGTGGTCCTGTTTGATCGGAGGGTTGGCCGTGGCAATTCTTTTATGAGTAGTTCTCATAGGTAGCATCACTCAAGGTTTTGGGGGCGTCTTTAGGCCCTTGTGGGGGGAGGAGGAGGAAAAGGAGGAAGAGGAGGAGGAGGACGGGGATGAGGAGGAGGAGGAGGAGGAGGCGGGGAGGAGGAGGAGGAGGAGGAAGAGGAGGAGGAGTGGGGAGGAGGAGGAGGAGGAGGAGAGGAGGAGGAGGAGGAGGAGGAGGAAGGAGGAGGGGCGATCCAGGAGCGGGACGTGAGGACAAATGAAGGGGAGGGAGGGGAGGGAGGGAGGGAGGGAGGGTGGCAGCGGGTCTAAGGGCGTTGAAGGAATAGGATTGGGGGGAGAGAGCCTCCCCACCGCAAAGGTACGGGCACAGGAGCACGGAGCCGAAGAGAGTCCAGATTAGGGGGAGGGTAACGCCTGAGGGACAAAGTGGGGTATGGAGGAGGAGGCGGAGGAGGAGGAAGCTGAGGAGGAGGGAGGAGGGAGAAGAGGAGGGGGTGGAGGAAGGAAAAGGAGGAAGAGGAGGGAGGAGGGAGGAGGGAGGAGGAGGAGGAGGAGAAGGAGGAGAAGTAGGAGGAAGAGAAGGAGGAGGAGGAGGAGGAGGAGGAGGAGGAGGAGGAGGAGGAGAGTGGGGAGGGGCGACATTCAG